GCTCTCATGTAAGAAAGAAATGGACTTTTCATATCTAACCTTGTTGTGTTACTAAATTGTAAAGAGATGGGGAAATTTAAGCTATCCTCTTATAATGGACATCCAAATTGTAGAGTTCAAGCTGTATACATCCTCTTCAGGAACTAAATATGAGGGAAGGGGGATACAGCAATATATTCAGAATAGTAATATGTGCTCCAAAACCATTTTACTTTCCCTTTAAAAAGAAGAAAAAGCATGTTTATGGGCACATCATTTCACATTTCAGATTACATAGTGAAAGATTTACCTGCTTGTGGAGACAGTGCACAAATGAACTCTCCTGCTCGAGCAGGGGGTTGGACTAGATGACCTCCAAGATCCCTTCCTACTCTGTTATTCTATGAACTATTACACAAAGAGAAAATTATGTGGCCCAGATAGTGAGACTAAATCTTTATCCAAACCACCCCAGGTCCCCAAACACAGAAACAGCATTCAACAATGTGGTTTTTCCTCTGATATTTGAAGGAATACCCTCTAGAGTCAAGGTTCTCACTCAGATGAGACCACAATCAAAACCACCGCAGGACATAGGCTTCTGCTTCTGTCATGGATATAACACTCAAGGAATGTTATATGCAGTTGTGCCAAGGAAGCAGGAAAAAACTCCATGTTGGAATGTTTCTCTTCCTGACTGTTCCCCCTCCACCTGGAACCTTTTCCATCAAGAAGGGGGGCGGGGGGATGTCATCAACTATTGTCCAGAAACTCCCTCCCTAATTGTAGTCCTCCATAAAATCACTGCCTGTTTGGAATTTAAGTTCACAGAGAAATAAAAATAAAATTAATCCCCTTCTCTCTCCCGAGCATTTTATCTTCTCTTCTCCTGATTGATAGTTTTATAATCCTGATTAAATCTGTCACTCCTTTCTGTCCTTTGCCAGGCTCTTTCTGAAGCTGGGCAGAGAAAGTAGTAGTTCATTTGTGCAAGGTCATCATAATTGTGGTCCATTCCCTCAAAATGTTCCATTGACTTTGGACCCTCCAAATGCAGGAAAGTGCAGAGTTCACCCCTTCAAATTCAGCAGGAGAAAGCAAAAGGCGATTTCCCCCACTGGATTAACTTTTGTGCCAGACAAAGCAAGATAGAGGCATAGAGAACAGGCCATTGGCCAGTAGCAGTCTGTGGACCAGGGGTGGGACTCTTGAAATAAAAGATTCATAAGTCCCTCATTCCTTCACAGATCTATCCAGAAAGAAGAATTTATGGAAAGTATAAGGAATCAAAATTCCAGGTATTATGGCTCATAGGGTTACCATTACAATTTAGTACAATTCAAAACACTCACATACTCACAAACATTTAAGATTAAAGAGAATGAGAAAGAGAAAAATAATTTACTTGCTCCCAATCAAAAGATTACCACTATATTTGCTCCAAAATTCTGTTCAAGGGCAAAATAGGTGACTATTCATTATTTTACTTTTTAAAATCTGTATGTTAAAAAAAAACATTTATTGAAATGCCTGGGAGGTTTTACCAGAAGGAAATTCAGTTGCTTTTCCTAATGTCAGGGTTTTAATATGCAGCACAGTCGGTTATATTGCTCAATGACTTGAGCAGGAAAAATGAATTACACATATTGAAAACAAAATGCAAATGTGCAGAATTTCTGCAGAATTCAGGTTGCCTAGTTTAAAATTTGTAAAAAAATATAATTATTCCACTTTATTATAAAAATAATCTTTATAAGCAAACAGCACAATTTGTTTTGAAAAAGGAACTTTGTTTGACAACAGATACTTTTGTTTCACACTTTTTCAGTAAGCAGAAGATTCATTGTAGCGCATTATGTTGAAAGCTGAGTAAATGCTTACAATACTTTGGTTGCTCTGAGGAGAAACAAGATTACAAGCTAAACAATAAGTAGGCATAGATCTAATGTCTATTTTAATAGCAATCATATATCACTCACCCAAGAAATTAGATTACCCATCCCCAAATCAATATAATTCAGCAAGAATAGCAAATCTTCAAGGCAAAAGGCAGACTAAAACAGTTTAATTAAAAGTAATTAATTATTTGATTTCATAACATTTCATAGATTTTAAACCAGGATTTCTCATTCATTATAACAAGGGTACTTAGTCTTTTTAAGAAGCACTATTGTGGTTTAATGCTGTGCCACTATTAAAAGTGGACCAAAGCAAGTCTTTTTAGTTATGGGAATAGGATTATTCCCAGCATAATTAATAATCTCCTCTTTTATCACATGAAGAATTACAGATGGTTACAATTTTTGGAGAAGCTTTGAAAAATGAACCCAGAGTTTTAAGGCTGCAAATGTTATTTTGGGACAACACATTATATGTCTCTGCCAGAGAGTTAGTTGTTGCATTATCAAAGCTGGAGAAATCTTATTATTGTTAATTTCTACAATGGGTAACTGTTACTGGTCTTCTTTTGTATGTCTTCCTCTGAAATCTGAATTCTAACTTCAGCTGTTTGACAGTTTTATTTAATATGTTATCAGCTGAACTGGAAAACAAGCCTGATGAAAAAGACTACAGCAAATTTGATTTACCATAATAAATTAAGCTCACCCAAGGAAAGCTATCAAGCCAACTCAACTCAAAAACTAAGATGACCCCACACAAAGTCTAAAGTTGGAAGCCTTTGGTTTCTAGATATTGCTGAACTAAAATTTTCAGCATTCTTCATAACTGGCCAGAACGCCTGAGTGTTGCAGGTTCTTTTTCTGTTAGCCAGCATTATTTCTCCTGTCGGTTTTTTGCCTTCCTATTTTCATCTCCTGCAGATTATCTGCAGTCACATGGTCAGAACTTAATCTCAGATCATGTGAAATGTAAAAGAAATGCATGTTGGTAGCACCTACCAAGTAACCTCGCCAGCACTCTCTTTCCTATGATGCAGCCTTTTCTTTAACACAGGATTGGAATGTGTACACCATACCAAGCCGAAATATGGTTTGCTTCCTTGGGTTTTATCATACATGTAAATCCAGCTTCTGTGACATGTAAACAATCCTTTCTGGCTAAATATATGGGATGAATTAAAAAAATTGTAGTTTCTTTAATAAATCATGATTATGCAAACTGCTGCTTTGCACGTGTAAAAAAAACAGTGCAAATTCACAAAATGACCTGAACATCTCTTCTTCTATAAATTAAGCCATGCTTGTAATAATCCTAATTTACTTCCTACTTCCAGTGACAGAATCACAACGTCTGTTGCAGCATTAAGCAACTGGTTTATTCCATGAGATAAGCAGTACTCTGTGTGCCAGGAAATGGCTAATTCTGTATCCCAGCAAGTACAGATCACATATAACTTTATTCTTAGAAAATAACCAGCCTACCTAGGAATTTAACAGTACAAAAGGCCTTCCCAGAAGGTTAAAATAGCTAGGCCTCTGCAAAGCCTGGCACACATACTGAATATCTTTTGGCAGTGCAGCCAATAAGAAGCTGTCCTTGTGCCAATGACCTGAGCTGAATGACCAGCCTTATAATATCACTCCTTGCTAAGAACAGGTAGCTTACACAAGAATGATGTACTTAATGAGAATTACAAGCAAACTTGTCTTACAAACCAGATGCATTTATTTTTTGCAAATGCTCAGTTTAAAAATGGAAACTGTAAAATGGTTAGTTGCACCGCGTTTTAACAAAACACTCGTTCCTTATGCTCTAAAGGACCTTTAAGAAAAGACTGTCTAAATTGTGTGACCTTCGGCAGCTGCAAGTCATTCAATAAGTCAATGTAAGAGATAAAATAAAGTAGGAACCTAAGCTCATGATATGCCTAACCCTCTCATGACATCTCAGTACAGCTTTGTTCCCCGGGCTCATAGTTTAGCCGCAAGGCTACATTTACTAGATAAAACCTGAGTGTCACAAGGAGGGAAATCAAATAGGAGGAAGCTGCAGATTCTATTTATGTTCTTCAGGCATGGAAAAAAATGGGTGCCACTCCTCTATTAACTCTCCTCAAGCTTCTAAAGGCTACCAAGGCATTACGTTGCCACTCCTTCTCCAACTACTTGAATTAAGCTTGTTACTAATGGGACTACACTGCTACAACCAGGTCCCTCTTCTCATCAACTCAGAAATACAGCAGGTGGTTGATAACAGTAGTGCCCCCCACCTCAGGATTTGCGTGCCCTGCAGGTTGTACCGCACACCCTGGGTGCTAAGGAGTGTTGGCCTTCATTCAGAATTGGCCTGATTGCCCATCTTCAGCCCAGCGTGTTTCCTCTTCCCACGCCTTCTTCCTTCATTTTTCTAGCAAGTTTAAAACCTAACAGGCTTACAACCCCTTTGCTATTTTTAATGGAGACATCAACAGACAGACAGATATGCTCTCAGCTTCCTTTTACCTCAGAAGTGGTGCAATACAGGTAGTCCTCGACTTACAACACTTACAACTGGAAAAAAGTGACTTACGATTGTTTTTCACAGTTACCACCTTTCTGGTATCACCACGATCATCCCCACTATCAAAATTCAGGTGCTTGGCAATCGGTTTGTATTTATGACCGTTGCTATATCCCAAGACCCTTTTGGGACCTTCTGACTAGCAAAGTCAACAGGGAAGCCAGACTTGCTTAACAACCAGGTTACTAACTTATCAACTGCAGTGATTCACTTAACAACTGAGGCAAGAAAGGTCATAAAATGGGTCAACATTCACTTCACAAATGTCTCACTTAACCACAGAAATTTTGGGCTCCATTATGGCCGTAAATTGAGGATTACCTGTACTGTCCCTGAATTATATTCTCCCCTCTCCCAAAAATGACTCTACAGGCGCATCCAGCTGCCTTTCCCCTCCACCCTCTGTGTCAATGAATTCTCGCTGCCGGATCTGGTGTATGTTTAGGAAGTAAAAAGCCCGCAGAATTAAAGGGGGTTTCCATTCCAGGTCCTTCTTTCTCCCGAATCTCCCTGCAGGTCCTCCGGGTGGGAGATCCAGTGACCGGGTGGTCGATACTCACCGCTTTCAGCTGCTCCAGCCGGTCCTTCATTGTGGTCGGGTGCGGCTTCTGTCCCTCGGTCAAGCAGGGAACCCAGGAGACCTGTGCACCGGGAGGGCCCCTCCAGGAAGTGGAATCCCAGCGCGAAGCCCAAAGCTGAGCTTCCTCCTCTTTCGCCTCCTTTGCTCACTCTCTAAGATGAGCGTCCGAGTTGCAGCAGGGCGGGAGGGCGAACATACATGCCGGCATCCCCAGCCCACCCCGCGCAATCTCAATCTGGTTCTCGCTCCCCGGGAGAGCCTGATCCTCCGGCGCTGAGCGAGCTGCAGCTGCTAATCCTCGGTGACAGACGCGGAGGGAAGGAAAAGAGGGAGTGGGAGAGAGGAGGCTCCGCCCCCTTCACCTGGGCAGAAAGCTCTTTTAAAGAGACAGCAGCCCGCACCTAGAGGCTCTGTCGACAGGAGAGCATTGACCACACGCTTGTATGACTCCCGCGACTTCCTTATGTTCCAGATTGGGTTGTTTTGTAGCAGTAACAAGCCGACCGGCAAGTCCCTGAACTCACACCGTGACCAAGTGAGGACACGGCTGAACATCTGCTAGGTGCGGTTTGGCTTCGTGGCTTTTAACGGAGGGAGAAGGAGAAGAAGAGGAGGAGGAGGAGGAGGAGGAGGAGGAGGAGAAGAAGAAACAACAACCTTGCAGGAACAAGCCAAAAAGGTGAGTATCTGGGAAGTTTTTAAAAGAGAACCAGTGTTGAGAAAGGTCATCGGACAGGCCTAAAGGTCCGAAGGCAGAAATGGGTCAAGAGAAGACGGAACGCAACTGTTCCCCTTGGGCTTTTGAACTACCCACCCATGTAGTAATTTGTGGAGCCCAAAGGTGAGAAGAATTGCACCAGCTGCCTTTCTGACTGAGGACTGTCTAGGGCTAGGCCAATGTTTCTCTCTGCAATAGGAGAAACAGCAGAACTTCTTAAGAAATTTGCCAGAATGGAGATACAGGTAATCCTTGTTTGTTTAGTGACCATTCAAAGTTATAACAGCACTGAAAAAAAGTGACTTCTCGTTTTTCACACTTACAACTCTTGCAGGATCCCCATGGTCACATGATCATAATTCAGATGTTTAACCCTGGATTGATATTTATGACAGTTTCTGGGGTCATGAGATCCCATTTTGTGAACTTATGACAAGCAAAGTGGATGGGGAAGCCAGATTTGTGTTGCTAACTTAACTGGAGCAATTCACTTAACAGAGTGTGGCAAGAAAAGTCATAAAATAGGGCAAAATTCACTTAGCAATGGAAATTTGGGCTCAATAAGTCAAGGACTACCTGTAGCGTATTTGCTCTTTGGCTGAGAGATGTCATGGGAGGGCAAGAAGCAGCCATCTAGAAAAAGAAGAGTGAATAATGCTATATATAAGTACATACTAAAATCATCCAGCTTGCAACCTTCCCATGAAAATATGGGCGAGTAGCAAAAACTGTATATGATTTAAGTATACCAAAACTATACATACATCAGATACAGCACATCAAATTGGACCATGGGTAATCGTGTATGGGAAAATATTTTTAAAAAGAGGGAGAAAGGGACACCAGCCCAATAACCTTTTTCTATCCCCCTGGAGTCTAAAACTGAATCCAGTTCTGGAATTTCTCCTTGCTTAAAGAAATGGGGAGCCTACAGACAGAGTCATCATGAGATGACTCATGATGAGAGGAGTAATCATGAGATGAAATACCAAACTTGCAAGATAGTTTATCTCCCCTTAACCTCCAAAAAAAGTTATATCAAATTCGGCCTTGGGAAACCTCTGAATCCCACTCAAAATTCTGTAATCATTGGTGAAGTTTCTCCTATATGGAAACAGAACAATCTTTATTTGAAAACTTCCAGTGATGAAACAGCCATAACTCTAGGAAGGAAGCTCTTCCAATGTTTAATTGTTTTCACTGTCAGGAAATTTCTCCTTACTTCTAGGTAGGATCTCTCCTTGACAAACTTTCACCCAGTAGCAATAGCAATAGCACTTAGACTTATATACTACTTTACAACCCTCTCTAAGCAGTTTACAGAGTCAGCATATTGCCCCCAACAATTTTGGGTCTTCATTTTACCCACCTCAGAAGGATGAAAGGCTGAGTCAACCTTGAGCCTGGTGAGATTTGAATTGCCAAATTGCAGGCAGGCGGCAGAAGTAGCCTGCAGTACTCCATTCTAACCCCTGCGCCACTGTGGCACATACTTCTTGTCCTGCCTCTGGTGCTTTGGAGAATGTTAATCCCCTCTTCTCTGTGACAGTTGAGTAATTTTAAACTGTTTGAATTACAGAAAGCTTCTTGATAGTTTTTGCTTCCTTTTTCAGCATTATACATTTGGTATTTATCACTTTGACTGTTCAGTTATTTCATCATAAGATATTGTCTCATTTATAAGACATAAGCAGATTGTGTCCCACTTAAAGTAATGTGGGTTTATAACTTTCCCTCATGAAAAGAAACCCAATGTTATTTATAAAATATAAGAGATTTATTCTAGGCAGTGGGGCCTTTTCTGCTGTGGTGTCCATATTATGGAATTTTCTGTCCCCAAAGATAAGGTTGGCCTCCCAACAACTTAGGGGACAGGTAAACTCATGAGGTGGCTCCCTTATTATTAACATCCTCCCATTTATTATTTTCTTCTCCTGTTTTAGCTCTGCTTTTATAATTTCTAATTCTTTGTAATAATTATTATATAATGGTTTTAGCTATGATTGTCATATTTATTTACTGTTTTTATTGGATTGGTGTATGATGCCCAAAGTCACTTTCTATGAGGTGGGTGGCATATAAATTTGAGTAATAAATAAATAAATTTGAAAGTAACAATATCCAATCCATTTTTTTTGCTATTCAGTTTTTAATAAGGGCAATCAAAGTTGCTTCCAACTTCATGACTTTCTTTCTTTCTTTGTTAGCAGCTGCAGCAATGAATGAAGACTCCAACATCATTCTCACCAGTGGAAAAGTTATGGGAAACCCATAAGCTGGACTTCAGTGTTCAGGGTATCAGTAATAGTATCCAACAAAATTCTCAAGGACATGTTACACTAAGCACCCCACTTAATTTGTAAGTGCACAGTTGCTACCACCTTACCACCAGCTCTTTAACTGTCACAATTCTTTAATTAAAGTCCACCATGTGTTGGTTTCTATTTCAATCCAATTGGCTTCCATTTCCAGTTATCAAAATGTGAAAACAACAAAGTTCAAAACTTAACTATGCTGTAAATCAGGGCTGTCAAACTTGCGGCCTGCAGGCCAAATGTGTCATGTACTGGCCATGCCCACACCCGTTTTAGTGAAGGGGGGGGAGTCATGATACGTCATGTGCAGAGGTGGTATTCAGCAGGTTCTGACCAGTTCTGGAGAATTGGTAGCGGAAATTTTGAGTCGTTTGGAGAACCACCAAATACTACCTCTGACTGGAGATTTTACAGTATCCTTCCCCTGTCACGCCCACCAAGCCACACCCTCAAAATTGGTAGTAAAAAAATTTGAATCCCACCACTGGTCATGTGACAACGCTGTGATGACACAAGTTTGACACCCCTGCTCTATATGTACTGTATATGAAAGTGTTTCTTTTTGTTTGTCTTGAATTTTCCTCAAATTTTTTTTTCCTCGTGACACAATCTTTCCTTGAGTAAAATCCACCAGCAACTCTAAAGTTACTGACAGCTATTTGTGTAAATACAGGTAATCCTTGACTTAGAACAGTACATTTAGTGACTGTTCAAAGTTACAACAGCACTGAAAAAAAGTGATTTGTGAAGCATTTTTCACACTTGGGACCATTGCAGCATCCCCATGGTTATGTGATTTATATTCAGATGCTTGACAATTGCCTCAGATTTATGACAGTTGCAGCATCCGGGAGTCTTGTTATCCCCTTCTGACAAGCAAAGTCAACGGGGAAACCAGATTCACTTAATAATGAATTGACATCCTTCAATCTCAAGAGGCTATGGTATTGTGCCATGAAACCGGTAACTGCCACTTTCCATGTTGTTTCAATGCTATATGCAAAGCTGGAGTGTCCTCTCCAGGGTAATTTAATATGGAGGATAAAGTGTTACCCAAGCAGCAGATCCCCCTTCTTCATGTCACTGAAATAGTCTAATGGAACAGCAGAGCTGATACGATTAGTTCCAGCTGCATCACAGGAGTTACCAGAACATGATTGTACACAGTCATGAACTGCTTCCAGGACTCTGGCTCCTGATTTTGCCTCAAGGTTGACTCCTGAAGCCTTTT